TATAGTATTTTTATCACATAGCAACTTAGACAGTATGAAACTATAGGCGAAACTTTCACTACTATCTTAATAATATAGCTGCTCTTTCGTAAGGAACAGAATATTTTGATAAGTGTATTTGTAGAAAAAAGTAGAAAAAATTACAAATAAACTGCACATTTGGTGGTGTGAATGCGCACCAGACTTTCGATCATTTATCTGTATTTTCGTTTTTTGAATACTGATTTCACTGATTAATTGTGATTTTTCTCTTTGAACACTGATTGAATGCTCTTGGAGTTGAGATTGTGTATACAACGCTTCTGCGTGGTATAACGAAAGTGTGCTTCTATTGCACTACGCAGAAGTCTTATTACATTGCCGAAAACTTGTCTTATCACATTCATTAGTGATGATTTTTGATCAGTACAAGTACTATTCGTTTTATCCATGAAAGTGTCACTGTTTCATTCTTCTAATCACTTCCGACTTGTATAGTGAGGCGAGGGCATAAGTACTTCCTCTTGTTTGTGTGTAATTATTAATTTGTTTGCTGAAATGAGGAGGTTAGATTGTTTATTGATTGAAGGAGTAAGAAAATTTTAAAGCAGTTATGGAATTGATGATGTGATGCATAGATTGGAATTGTGGGAGCAGAATCAAAATGTCAAGTCACGGAGTACACGGAGTAACTAGAATATTGATTTACCGAGGAATAAAAGAGGAGTGGGGATTGATTGTAAGTGGAATGCAGAATAGAATGAATACTGTTTGCTTTTTGATTAACCTATTGGTCTGTAAAGTTGTAAGGTAAAGAAAGCTATAAGCATGTGGAGAGTTTTCTATAAAAGAAGACTAAAGTCAAACTGTCTCGGATGCATAATTCGATTGGAAGGTAGAAGTTGATGTGTTTAGGAGTATAAGCATTGTCTTTTCCATCACGAGAAAATTAACATAAATTGTGGGAGTAGTTTTCTTTTACTAATCTTTTGTCAAGAAACTATTATATCATATCGTTTTTGGAAGCAAAGTTTAGTAAAATGAAATATTACTCCTTTCCAGTGAATTTTCTTTTTTAATTTTGTAAAGCTATAATTGAAAAAGTTCTTTTTGTTTACTCTTATGTTTTCCAAACTTTCGAATCCTTGATTTTCTACAGTGTTCTGGTCTTTGTCATTTATTTGCTTAGTATTTTGTTTTTGTTTGAAGCAAGTATGAGAAGTGTACTAAGTGCTTGACGTTGCATGGTGTCGATTGGCACAGTAACTTGCGACATAAGGTGCTTCAGATCGGCACTGCTTACATTTACTGTTTTCAAGTCCTCAGATTTTTTGTTTAGTATTCAGATGTTGAAAGTTATTTCTGATCAAGAGGATAAATTTCATTGTTTTACTGTAAAATTTGTGATGATAGATTGATTACTATGGAGTAAATATGGCAAGTTATGTATATTTAATAAATTACTACCCTTCTTAGTTGAATTATGATTTAGTTCTATTATTTAATGGTGTTGTTTAAAAAGCTGTACTGAAATGGTCGAAAATGATTGTATTGGTAAAGTAGTTTAGAGGGAGTGAATTATTTTAAATTTTCACTCGTAGTTATTTTTTGTGAACGTTTAGAAATGTACACGTTATTTTACGAAATACATTACAAAAAAGTATTAATTTTAAAACTTTATTTATTGCTTTTTATATGCCATATCTTTTGGTGTGAAGTAAATTTTAAGCTGTAAAGTAAAAATTGTAATGCATTCATTCAATTTTCTCCCAAAATTTAGCTTAAATGCGAAGCAGTTTATGACAAATGTAGGTGACTCTCAGATTTTAAAATTCATTTTATTACATCAGAGTTGTCTCAAATTAGTATACATTCCATTTAATTGTGTTAGTTTTTTCTTTGTTTTATGTTTTTTTTCTCCATTTTTTCGAACTTATGCAAAGGAGAAAGAAAATATGTTCATATTATATCTCTGGGTCTTAGCATCCGTCGCAATTTTCTCAGCAAATAGCGATTTTTAAACATGTTAAAGAAGAGTAGTTGAAAAAGATGACCTTGACCTAACAGTTACAGTCTTTTCTCCTTACCATTTTTCCCGTCTTTTGCTTCTACTTCTTTGCCTTTTACTGAAATGTATGTTTCCTACGTTAAGTAGTCAGTTTTTTCTCTACTCTAACTAATTCGTTTTTAATCAGTCCATGTTTAGTCATATTTAAAACAAATAGCAAAGCCTTGATGCTTTCATATGAACTGAAATGTTGACGTTTCAGTGAGCTTCATACTATAATATTAAACAATTCTTTTTGCCACATATGATTAACAAGAATTTGAAGTCCGCTTACAGTACTAACCTGTTAATTAATGCAGGACTGAGAGATAAGTATTATGAATGTCACGATTAAGAAACAATTATCCTAAATAAAATGTACCTTTGAAGTAGTTTACGCGGTATGTTGTTTTTTTTTTAATTTTTAGGTTCTTTGAGATCAGCTTTGATCTACATTTACATATGTAGCATTTATCAGTTAATTTATGCTAGTGTCTGGAAGTTAAATTTAAAATCTCATCTACATCTGACATGCTAAATTGTGTTTTTGATGGAAGGTGATGTGATTCTTGAACATTTAGAATTTTTCGCTACTAATATCATTTATTGCTGTGAGTAATATTTATTACATATTTTATTATATTAACATATATCATTGCGTAGGCTATATTTTACACAATATTTATTACTGTGAGATGACTTTACCTGCTGAAAGCCATAGTGATTTTTTAAGTCATGCAAATGACTTAGCGAAGGAAGATTAGACGTTTCTCTTTTCTTTCTGCGCATCTCTAAACTCTTTTTACGCTTTCAAAGTAGGAAAATTTAAATTAATAACAAAATCAAAAAAGATTTCTTTTCAGATTGTCGTTTGCCTCCGTTCAGCAAAAAAAGGAAAAAAACAAATTTTTCATTTGAAAGCATACCTAAAAAAGGTCAAGTAGTTCTAGCTTGACACTGTTACGGAACTTTTTTATTACGCATATATTACAGCTGGTAATACCATCATATTCTACTCATCAATGAGAGCTACACTTTTGTTTGCGTTCAGCTCTGGATTTTATCGTGGATTATCACTTCTTTTTCTCTTATATTACATTCGTAGCGTGAAGTCAAACTTGATCGGTCTTCGCACAACGACTACTGCAACTACTACTACTACTACTGCTACTACTACTGCTACTACTACTACTACTGCTACCACTACTACTACTACCCCTACTACTACTACTACCCCTACTACTACTACTACTACCCCTACTACTATTACTACTACCCCTACTACTATTACTGCTATTAGATCTATTTCTGACTTGAGATGTATTCAAATTAATGCAGCTTTTAAGCAAGCCGCAGATTTTAATGAACTTGTAAGTTTATTTTTTTCAGCAAATTTCAACTTGTAAGTTTATTTTTCAGATTTGATGACCAAATAGTTGTTCGACTTAAGAATATTGTTTTTTTCCCAAGTTATGTAGTGGTGTATCATAGAAAAAAAATTAGTAATGATTATAATAATGATTTACTTATCTGATAGTCATTTGATAAGTTTAAATTTTGCTGCTGTTTCTGAGTCATATATGTACTGTGAATGTTAATTGTCAGTGAGCAGGAAAGTAAGCCAATGCTTGAGCAAAAATTAAGGGAGGATATGCCTGTGCTAATTCATTAAGAGATATTACTAGATGTTAATGAATTATGGTATTTTTGAGATTTTTTCTAAAGTGTCTCGAGTAGTTTATTTGTTATTTGCATCTTGTAACTGACCTAAGCATTCCTTGTTCATATATTAAATATGTCTCAAGAATGATTAAATAGTCCCTGCTAAATAATATTTTATATGTCAAAACACAAATATAGTATTTTGAGTTATTTTTGAACATGTATTATGAAGAATTAGTTTTAAATTATTTACTTTTTAATATCTGTTGCTGCACTATTATCGAAAAGTAGTATGTTCGCAAAATTTCCTTTTCAGAAGCTTTGTGATCTTCGTAGCATTGCAGTTGAGGAAAAAATAATTTCAGTGACAAAAATATTGGAGATTTGAGATACGAGTAGTTGAGGAACATAGAAATTTTGTAGAAATTGCCTTTTAAAATGTTATATAGAACGAAAACGTGAATGAATAGTTGTCTGCTGTATGAAAGTAAAGCAGCAGCTAGGGGATTCCAGAATTGATTCTAGAATTTAAATTTACCTCGACAACTGTGAATCCAGAAATAAATTTTTTGCTTGAAATCATTCAGTTATCGCAACTGAATGCATTTGAAATTTTACATCTGTTTCTTTTAAGTTTTCAAAACATGTTTTCATGATTTTAAATTTGTTTTTGTAAGTTTTTTGCTTATTTAATCCACAAATTTCAAAGTAAAAAAAGAATTCTGCAAGCTTTTGTAATTACTTTAGTTATTATATTTAATTAGGAGCAACTGTCTGTGAAACTTGAGGTTTATCATTTTGCTAATTGTATTTTTCAGTTTTTGCAAATGTTATTTGATTATAAATGCAAACTGAATTTCGAGTATTCTCAGTTCCAGCTGGTACATAACTAATATAGATGTGTGGAGTAAGTGATGCAAATAAACAAGAAAAGAATTTTACTTGATGTCATATATTCATGCATAAAATATAAAAGTAGCTTTGATGGATTTGGTCAATTTTGCTTATAGTACAAACCTTATTGAATCTTGGTGTGTGATTATTCATCTGTTAGAAAAAATGTTTATGTTGAATTGGTTTCGAAGGCATGATACTCATCCCATTTATTTTTGGAAACAATTTTAAAGTCCTATGTTAGCTTTTTAGTAACTGATATTTTTCAATAATTCAGATCATACGTTTATTAAATATTTTTCATTCCTTGTTTTGATTTCAGGAAGCATGTTATTGCTTTGTGGATATTACCTCGAAAAAATTGCAGTCATCGTTGCCAAGGAAAGACGACATTTGGATAGGTTGTACAGGGCAGAAAATGCCACAGGTCTTTCGAGCTTTAAATGCGCTAAATGAAACCATGGTTTCCAAACTGTGGATTTGGGATTCAATGATCAATATTTTACCGAGTGATATGTTTGCACAGGTAGAAGATTTATTTTTTAATTGTGACTTGGTGTTGCATATTATTACACTATCATCGTTTGATGAGTGGAAGATTTCCTTTTGAGTAGCCTTTATTTGCAATTATTTGTTATTTATGTTAATTAAACGGTTAATTACATTTATTAGTATTACTAAAATGATTGCTAAGATTGCAGCCACTCAGTATCTTATACAACAGTTAGTATGAAAAAAAATAGGCGATTATTTATAATTTTAGCCTTGGTAGTTTTCAGGTACGTCCTCGGGTTCTATCAATTGAGACATCAAGGTTGAGTCTGTTTCGACCCGGCGCTTTTAGTAGAATTGGACGGAGGTTGCGAGTGCTGCGGCTTCGAAATAACATTATAAAACGAATTGAGCCATTCATGTTTAAGGATTTGGACTATCTTCAACTACTAGATCTGGGAAGCAATAAAATCACCTCTATTGTCTCAGGTTGGACTGAAAATCATTATGGTATAAAGCAGTATCAAAATTTATTTATAATCACAATTAAGTTGTACGAACTCTCACTTCAGTAAAATATTAGAGAAGAAAATATTAAACATGAATGGATCCACAGATAGCACTCTAAATCATGAAACGCAAAAGAGACAAACCACTAGCATGAATCAAATATAACAAAGACAATACCGTGATTCATTTATGTTTTTTTGTCTGCTTTGTTTCTTGCTCTATTTATGGCAATTAACGCAGTGAAATAATATTCAGGTGAACTGAGCCTTTTGAAAGATTTGGAAACTTTGGTTTTAAGTGACAATCAAATATCTGTTATTGAAGATGGTGCTTTCGGAACTCTATCTAACTTGAAAACATTGAATTTGGCAAATAATAAGTTGACTAATATTTCTGTGTAAGTAGTATTTGTTTTAAAATTAATTATATTTTGTCCACTAATATTTCTCTCTATTTTATCGTATAGTATAAATATCTCAACGTCATTTAAATAAGTGTAGCGGTGCTCTTTAATTTAACTATATGATTCTCTAATTCTTATTTTTCCGATATGTGTATTTATCGAAAAATATCATGATTCTTCAAATAATAACATAATGCCGTCACTTATCGTCCAAAATATAATTCATTTTTTTCAGTGAAACATTTCATGGTTTGAACAGCTTAGAAGCTCTTAATTTGCAAAGTAACAATATTATGTTTGTTGATTGGAATGCATTCGCACAACTGAAAGATTTGAAATATCTGAATATCGGTGGGTGTATCATTGTGTGTTTTCATTATTTATTGACGTTTCGTTTAGAGTGGTAAAGAATGCATGCAATTTGTAGGATAGTGTTAAATATTGCTTAGCATATAAAATACCTCTAACTATTATTCATGAGAAAATTGTGGAAAAATTGGGATGAGTAATTAGTAATTAGGGATTTTTGAAAAATGTAATCAATTATTGGATTAAAAACTTTTGTGAAAATTTAATTCTGTTTTCTAAAATGGAAAAGCTAAGTGCAAAAATGAATCTCAATATTGCAGGAAATAATCATATTTCGCGAGTTGATCTTCGTGGATTAAAATCATTAGAAAAGTTATTTCTTAACAATAACAACATTCATTCAATGAAACGTGTTACATTGCATGATCTGCGTAATCTTCATTCGTTAAATTTGGATAGGAATTCAATCACAGAAATACATGATGGCGATCTTCATTCACTTGATGAAAGCGTGAGGTACATGGGTTTTTTATCAATACTTTATTTGCTGATTCATTAACAAAATTTCTATTTTATGATCGGAAATTATGAAACATTGTTGACGTGTTTCTGATATTTGCAACTCGAAAAATCAGCTACATATTGTTGAAAAGTATTTTAATTTTAGACTTTTCAACGTTAAGTAATTACTTTAAACAAAGCTGTGTAAATCAGTGTATTAATTACAATCGGTTATTATTTCTCAGGCTCAGTACGCTTTCCATAGCTGCGAATAAAATTCGCAAAATTGAAGCTCGAGCTTTAGATCCAGTGCATCAGATTACAACACTTTCTCTTCAAAATAATCAACTTTATTCGTTATCAATTAGTGATGGCGCAGGTATTTGTTGAGCAGTGTTATGTTAGTTAGTTGATACATATGAAACATAAATGGGTAATTCATTGATCTGTGCTTGCAAAATGCATTGCTATGTGTGCATTTTAAAGTGGCATTCAAGACTTTTTCTAAAAGGAAATCATTTAAATTGTTTCTTATCAAATTTTTTTGGTGGTGAACTTTCAGCACTAATTGTTTTTTTTTTTTGCAGCAGAAATATCATTTTTAAAGCCATTGAAGAAACTCATCAGGCTGTATTTGTCGAACAATAATTTAATGCGAGTTGGAGAACATGATTTTAGTGCATTAAATTCACTAAAAGTATTAGCGCTTGATCACAATCAAATTGAAGAAGTCAGCAATTTGATACGCAGTGTTTTCTTTGTTTTGTAAAAGTGGTTTTGTGGTGGGTGGAAAATGAGCTCAGAAGTAAATTTGTAGTAACATTACTGAGTGATGTAAGAAATTTTATCACAAATCAAGATTAAAGAATAAGTATTAGAATAGCACTATAAATAATTTGGACTTTCATTTTATTTTTTCTTTTTTTAACGGAAAGCATTTTAGATACATGGCAAAGCTCTCAGGGGATTGCCTTTAAAGCGTTTTTACCTTAATCGCAACCGCTTGTATCATCTTCCCAAACGACTGCTTGAGGACCAGAACATTAGTCTGCTCAACGTGGTTGATTTATCAGGTTTACTTTTACATTTATTAGCACTTGGTTTTAAATATATTTATTAGTTTCAATTCAGTTCCAATTTCATTAAGCGACTAATTTTAGTGCTTCTTTGCTGTCACGTATTAATTTGATCAATTCTTCCATCACCAGTGCTAGTCCATTTCATTATTTGATCATTATTGAAAAATAAGTTTTAAGATAATCTCTGGCAATGTGTTTGTGGTGAGGAGTGGATATCGCACTGGTTATCATTAATTGGTGATCGAAATGTAGCTGATGGTAATATGGGATGTATAGAATCTGAAATATGTGCTTCCAAACGTACTAAAGAAGAAGAACATAGTGTCTGGATCACTGTGGTAGCCAGCATTATTGCAGTCATTTCTCTGTTCATCCTCATTGCTATTGCTTTCTTGTATGTCGAAGATGGTATGTTTTTTAAGTTTATCAATTTTTCGACGTTCTTAGAAAGGATTGCATTTGAAATGTCTTCACCTCAGTCGCAGTCGTCTTTATCATTATATTTGCTTAAAGTGGTTTGATAGCTTTTCAGACTTAACATTCGTAAAAGCAAGATTTTTTAGGAAGACAGATGCAGAAATTAGCATATCCATTGCGACGAGTACCATTAGATCTTCGACAATTAATACCAAATGGTTCAGTGATGTCTCTTCCATCAGAGAATGGAGCTGAGCCGTTACTAATGTCTAATACTGTCAATAAATCTACTGAGCAATCGTTGAACAATAGCGATCTTCGATTGTCGTCATGTATGAAAAGTTCATTAATCGTGCCAAATCGTGGTAGCAGGAGTGGTGATCATAACGCCGACAATAGTAGCAATGTAAATGGAAGTAATGAAAAGAAAAGAGTTCGTTTCAACAATGCATAATTACTTTTCGTTGCGATTCAGGCAACTTAATTCTGTAAGTGTCAAGATATATTGTTTTTGACTTGTGTTTTTGGAGAGTTGCAGAAAAGAAAGAGATCTGTCTTTTGATATTTCAAACATGTCCTTAGATTTTGAGAATTTCATTTTAAAACTTGAAAAGTTTAAAAATGGACTTCAAAAATTGTAATAAATTACTCTCCAACTGCTTCTCTCCACCACCGTTTCTGCATTTAGGCAATGTTTGCGATTATATTTTGATTTAGATTTTTTATTTGTCATTTTTTCAATAATCATTCCATTCAAGCATAATATGATGCACATGCACTGAATTAAGGGGTGATTTGGGCGTTGTGTTCAAGATGTTTTCTCTGGTGTTATTCAGCTTAAAAATAACGTTTTGCAAATACAAATATTTGCAAAATACCAGTAGTTATTTGTTCGTGGGGTTTTTTAAGCTCGACGGGAAAAAATTTTATACCGGTACAAGTATTTATCAACTCATGATCTTTTAAAAATTGCATTCTGCTCTCAAAATATAAATTTTCATGCAATTTACATTCAGTCATGTAGTGAAAGCGATTTGCGGATGAGACTAAAAAATCACTATCGAAGTGCAATTAATCCATGTTCATCAATTTTTAGTTTCTTCCTTCGAAATGCTTAAGTCCTTAACAGGTATAATGTAATAGCTTTTTTGGCATCTTGTTTTTCATGCAATTAATGTATTTTGATTATCTCATGTATTTTGTACATTTGTTACTTTCCAGAATAATTCAATTTGTATGTACAATATTGTAAATAATTGAGCTCGAGAAGGTTTTTATTATTGAATCCTCAATTTTGCTTGTAAATGATATCTCGGCTAGTAATACTGGGTCAAGCAAAAGGTAATGGATGCAATGTTTTCTTTCAGCTGGCTTTTGGCTGAACTTAAAACTCATGACTCTGTTACAGTAAACGATTCAATGAGTCTTAAGTTTGCAGTTAGCATAAATTTAGAAATTAGAATTTGGAACAATAGTGACACATTTGTTTATGTAGCATGCTTCTCTTTCCATACTCCATGAATGAACTGCCGATTCTTGGTTTCCCCATGGTCAGCTGCTGAAATGCATATTGTTACTTTAACTGATGCTTCTCATCTATATATTTTATAATACGAGATTGTTATGATTAATTCTGTACAGAAGTAGATTTGTGTTCTATTTGGTTAGTGTTGTTAATTTTAAAAATTGTTATTTCAATTAATTATCAGTGAACACCGACGTCAAACGGTCGTCATTGTTAATTTTTACGGCATTTTTTCCATATCTTACTTTTGAAGTAGCATTGAAATGATTATTAATGCGTTGTGGAAGTAATAAGAGTTTTATTTTTGAATGCGATCAAAAAAAGTAACAATAAATGCGATCAAAAAAGTGAACAGTTTTAAGATGAATACGATGTTTGTTATTCAGCTGAGGTGCTGTAGATATTTGTACCACCATAATCTGGTATTTATTCAGTCACTGTAAGTGGAACAAGTTATTGTAAAGCAGTGATATCTGACGTGCTCAGCGAAGTAATGATAGTATTCTCAAGAACAATGTATCGATATGTTTTTGTTTGTGAATAACATTTATTGTTTGTAATTTTCTGAGATGCGAAATACGCAGATTTACATAGATGAGGTATTGTAATGTCGTTCTGCTGCCTCCTTCATCCCTCTCAGCATAACTGTCTCACCATTGCAGTCTTGGTTTTCTTCTCCTTGCCCAAGTGATTTGTCATGCTCTTGATACTTTTCATGATATCTAAACTTGTTTCAAGTAGATTGGACAAGCACTATCAGCTGTGAACTCTGTCAACGTCATCTTTTGATTGCCATCTTTGATGGGATGTCTATTTTCATTTGGCTTCAAATTTGTCTTCTACTTTTACAGCTACAAACTTTTATTAATTTTACAAATCTAGTCTATTATGAGGTAAAATCTGGGGTCTGTCTTTGACTTTCTTTCAATTCTTGATTGAAGCCGTGTCTTCTGTACATATAGTGGGAATGCTGCACGTGTGATGCAACCTTTGACATTTTAGCAGTAATACAAAGTATTAATAATTTGACAACTAGTTTTATACTTACGGTTTGCTCGATTTATGTGATGTCTATTTTCCATATAAATAAATGGACTTTTGAAGGTGACATGAGAAGTCATGAGAATTACTTAAATTTATTTGTCATACTTTGAGGCAATTTGTATGCAAATATGTGTAGGTTTTCCAAAAAAATTGGCTGTACAGGTCAGTCACTGAGAAAAGTAGTTCCCAATTAATCAATATTCTCATAATTATAAACATGATGTTCCGAGCCAGTCAAAATCATTTCTTCTTTCGCTTCCATTACAAGGTGGCGTAATGGGTGCTTAAGTCTTGCTGAAAATATAAGCGTGAAGTATTTCGTGAAGTGAATTATTCTCTAGGTCTTTACGTGAAAGTATTACATTTGTTCTAAGTCTTACTTTTCAAAGTTTGGTTTTGTTCGTCCTCTTAGTAACAGAATTTTTTAGCGTGTGAGACACTAGAATTTTCAATATTTGAATGTCACCGTTGTTAAGAATACATTATTATGGAGTGCAACCACTTATAATGCTTAGTATATGATTATCAAGAGATGTTCAGTTGTGGCTTGCAGTTGCACCTCTTAGGGTACCAGTGAGCATTGCAAGAAAGAAGCTTAATGCAAAAGATTTCGGTGTTAGCAGGGCCATTATTTGAGACTTATAATCAGCTAAATCTTTCTACTCGGATCATTACTGCAGTACAGCTGTCTAGCTCCTTTTTTCATTTTGAAGTGTTACAATAATCCTGTAATATTACTCTCTATTCGGGATTAACAAGCGGAACATAAAAAAGTAAAACATTACTGAACTACTCGCATTCAGAAATAATTGGTATTTTTCATCAATCACAATAAGAGTCGTAAGTGTTGGTGCTTAATGTGAATAATTGTACATGATAGTTTACTTTTGAAGTGATTTATTTTTGTAGGTAAGATGGATTTAACTCTCGGAGGAAGCAAAAAAAAACAGCTTCATGTACGAAAGAAGTACAGTATCATTACATTGGATTTGTTTAAACCGACGAAGAAGTCATATCCAGAATTTGACTATGCGAAAATTTGCAAAGAATATTTGGTTAAGTCACTACTGTTTTTTTTGTTCGCAAACTTTTTCGGATTCTTTTTTTTCTTTTTTTTTGGAATATCGAATTTATAGTTGCATTTCACAAATAAACTCGTCAATATTGTAATTTTATATAAATTAATGGTTACCTGAATTAGTATTTTAGTCATATGCAAAAATTTCACTACATTCATAAGAATTTTATGTTACAAAATCGACTTAAATACTGTCCGTTTCTGTAAAGTTAATTGCGATCTTGAATAATAATAAAAAAGTAAATCATCAAATTATATTCATACTTTTTATAAAATATGACAACGTCGTTATTGATTTTATTGGTGGGTATTTTTTTCGGAAAAACTGATACTTTATTTCTTACGTTCAGATTATTGAAATGAAATTCAAACTAATATCTATCTAAGCTGTTCTTTTTTAAGAAGTTTGTTCTTATGGCTATTCATAATATATGTAATATTGCAGAATGAAGATGAGTCAAGTGGTGAAGATGAACGTTTTCATGATCGTGAGGCTGAAGACTTAGTTAGACGGTTAGAACAAAAATATGTAAGTGTTGATATTGTAATTAAATACATTAATTTTTTGCTAATTGTATGGTTGGGATAATTATGAAAAAATAGAACTGTTTGTCATCAAAAAAAAAGAATAATGAATTGCTGTTAAAATGGTTGTTTTTAGAGTAGAAAAAAAGACAAACATGGTCGTAAAATCCGTTTTGGCTGTGCAGATGACTATATGGACAAAACAGTGGGTTACGACTTAACTGACCCATTCATTGACGACAGTGAAGCTGTAATTTTTCATAAGAACTTGTCCCTTATATTCTTAATAATATGTATGATGTAATGATATAGCTTTAATAATTGCAGTATGACGAGCATGTACCCTCAGTTCTCGACACAGCAAGAGGAGGTTTTTATGTCAATAGAGGAAAGTTAGAGTTTAAGTCAAAGTATGCTGAGGATGATTCAGATAGTGAGGTTGACGAAACAATCGTCAAGAAGAAAGCAGTAGAAAAGGTAATTTTCAGAACTTTCTGTGGTAGAACTAACTTATTTTGATTTAAAAAACGATGTAATATGTATCTAAATCTATAAATCGACATACACGCTTAGTTCAGAAGAAATTTTAATTTCTGAAAGTTTGCGTACTTTCTCAATTGGTTTAGGCTTATAGATTTATTTTATGAGAGTCTCATCATACTTAAAAACTAGATATGAACCGAATGAAGTTTTTGTACAGTGTTGGAATATTTTCAATATACATCTTCCAGAGACGCAGAATTTCAAGTGATGAAGAAGGAAGTGAGACTAAGCGTGTATGTACTTCTCCTTCCTCAAAATTGGTGAGTGAAAATAATGCATCCACAGATTTATCAAAGGAATCAGCCATTCAAGAACCAGTACGTCTATCCTCATCAGGTGCTGCTCCTACGACAAAGCAAAGTGATGTTTCTCGTAATAATCTCTTTGCTCAACAGTACATCAAGAAACGTCGTCTTCTAGGACATCCACCTATGGCTAAAATTAATCAGTCACTTGCTGTGAAGGCTGCTCTTAATGTCAAAAAGAAGTATGTGATTTTTTAAAGTTTTTATCTTATCCTTCGTAAATTTTAGCATGTAATTATTCATTGCGACTGGATCTGGTAAACAAAGTATTCCAAGTATAAGCATGAAGTTATTAGTTAGAAAATTCATATTTTCGATCATAATTGATGCTAAAAGCATTTGAGTCTACTTCTTAATTACCATGATTAGTTAGTTTTCTAAAAAGATATGTTTTTTTGTTTCAAAATGTGGTGACATTGTTCATATTTCAGGCTAAAACCGCAAGCGAAAAAAGCAGTCTCTGGCATGACCGATGATGACTTAGCCGGATTCTTAAAAGATATGGTGGGTGGTGAGATTGAGCCTATTGAAGAAATGGAAACTATTATTTCCGATGAAAAAGAGGTATTTTTCTCAGTCCATCTTTAAGATATCTGCTTTGATATCTCTTTTCTTGACCTCTAGTTGACTCGTTCTATCTATAACAGGGTTTGATTGGTATTGTAGCATAGCACTCAGAATTCAACCGATGCAAACACCGAACTCGAAATTGGTGTCGATAAATTCGCTACACCTTCAGTCGAGAAAGGATCATCACAATCTGTATCTACTGCATCTGCTCCTTTATCTACTGCTGCAGTTAATAAACGTTCACCTGGACGACCTCCTGGTTCAATACAGGTCGCATTAATTAACAAATATTAAGAAACTGCAGTAACAAATATTATAATTTAGTGATGAAGAATAAAATCTTATTGTGGGATGTTATTTATTATTCTGGACTTTCATTCTTCTTTACTGCTCTTGTATCAAATGTTTTTTTATTAAAGTTTTATTGTAGCTCAAACCAATGCCACTAATGTCAGATAAGTTGCGGTTGATGATTGATTCTTTCAAGCAAAAAACAAAAGCATTTGGCGCACCTAACAAAAAAATTCGACTTCCACCAAGTTTAGTAGACCTTTGCTTAAGGTTAGTATATCTTATTATTTCAGTCAGGTGTATCATCCACATATTAATTGTTTCTTTGATTCAAAGCAATGTATATCAGTAAATGCTTTGCCTTTTTATTCTAAACTTGTGATCTCAGAAAAGAAAATTTCTATTGTTTTTGAGTATGGTCGTAGTTCTTTGAAAAAATTAGAGAGAATTCGAATTTTTGAAATTGCATGTTGAGTAAGTATAAATTCATTGTTGCTACTGACAAAATTGCGTAGCTAAACAACTTTTGGCTATTATCTTATCAGTATCTAATTCCGAAAGTATGAATTTTGTCTTCAATTTTTTCATGGGTTTGACAAATTAATTCAATTTTACAATATCAAAACATTTATTCCATATTATATTTTATGATCTCGAAAGGTGCACTTAAATTTGTATTTACATGGTTTTATCGATATATTATTTTACAGAATTGAAGAACAGTGTATGTCAGAATGCTTTAATCATCAACAAAGGACACGAGTGTTTGACCAGTTGGCTAACTGGGTTTGTGTTCAGCGGAATTCACTTTATATTCGAATGCGAGCTCATCGAGATCGTCATGAAGTAAGTCAAAATATATTAATATTCTGTGTTTATTATTACTTAAAATATCAAACTACCTTATTATGTTCTCTTTAAATATATCTGTTTACACGTGCAGTAAAGAATTTCATTACACTTACAAAAAAAAACAAGCGAAAGCTTTTGTGAAATTGGGGCTCAACATACGAGAAATTAGTGATAGTTTTCATTATTAATTGAACTGCGTGCATGTTTTATCCTAACAGTGTTTTTCAAAATTTTTTTTCGATCATGTTATGTGTCTGGCCTACTACAAAAGGTAGTTATTCTTAATGCTTAACTTATGTATGTATAGAATGACGAGATATGTTATCAATATTTTCGGTTCTTTTTATAAAAGCGACTTTCAGCCAAATGCTACCTCGGATTCGGACATTAATGTGGATGAACCTATGAATAATGTAAAAGAAGTAATTACGGCAATCACTGACGAAGTAATGTTGCCTGGTTCAAGTGATTCACCTTCCTCTGCTGTAACTAATTCCTCTTCATCAGCGATCTCTGATACACTTTCAAAATCTCCTGTAACGTTTTTGGCATCAGAAAAGGAGTTACGTATTGGTTTAAAAGATATAGCCAGTAATGATGTTACCAGATCAGCAAAACAATCGACAGAAACTGTAGGCGATAATACAGTAAAACCAAGTGCCTTACCAAACACATCGAATGCACACTTTATAGCTGTCTCTGACCATCAAAATACTCCAGTATCTACAAAAGTTGTAAGTTAATGAATTATACTTCGTATTTAAACTGAACAAGAATGACAAAATGACACATCGTGGTTTTATAATTTCTTAATATTTTTTATATGTCAATACTATGGAGTTATGATACATATAATTGAATAATTATGTCAATGCTTTTGTAAGTGGTACGTTTCAAAATTTTATTGTAAGCTGAGTTGAGTGCTGAATCTGTTTTAAAGATTTACTAAGATATCTACGGGAGCAATAATTATTTTCTTACAGAGTGGTGGTACGACAAAAGTAGCATCATCATCGAAGATACCGCCAGCAGTAAATGCTCCTAATTCTCTGTCTAATACCCAGTTATTATCCTTGTTTGCCACAATAGTACAACAAGCTCGCAGTGATCCCATTCGGCAGCATCAGCGAGTGGCTGACAGTTTGTCTGCTCAAATAAATGCTGCTTTTCATAGCACTAAGCAACATTCTGAATTTTTAACTCAGTACCAGCTAACTCTCAATAATCTTGCAAAGTAATACATATAATCGATAATGATCTTCCATTTTAACTTTGATGTGTTTTGTTTATCATTTAAATATGTTAGCTTAACAAATTAATTGCAGTTCTCTAGTTTTTTATCATCGCATAATATGTGAGATGCTAAAAAACACAGTTTCATTACTTAGTTGCTTGTTTTTTCATCTTATTCATTTGCTGTCATCACCACGATTATGCATTCAAGAAATTTTCCGCTTGCAGTACATTTAATTTAAGGGTCTATTTATTATGTAACTTTTTAAAATTGATTTCTTACTAACAGATTCAGAATCAGAAATTTTTCAACCTGTAAGGACTGAAAAACATTTCTCAAGTTACTTAAATTGATGAGACATTCAAGTGGATTTATGTCCGACTTGTAGTTAGTGCTTTAAAATGAGAAAGTAATTCACAAATTCTTTGTTTAAAAAAAAAAATGTTTAAACATATTTGAAATAGTTCCTAGTAAACATTGTACTTGGTAGCAAAATAAAATTATTTGAGAACGAATGAGGGCAAGAGTATTCATGTATTTTTTGTAAATGTCGCTGACTGTGCTATAAATTATATAACAATAATCTCGGGGAATTATTTCACTTGATTAGGTATTTTTTTAACTTAGCAGTGTTAGGTCGATTATTAACAACTTTCCACACAAATTGACAAGTATTTTTTTCCAGTTCTCTTTATTAAGCTTTGACTTTGTCTTCAGAATTGCTTCCATTCCATCAGCCACTCTTGGAAAAAATATGGCATCAGTACAGCCGGATCCTACCAAGAGCAATTCACAACTACTGAAGCCTCAGACTCATCAAAATGAACTAGAACGTGCCAGCAAACTCATATCCAACGCACTCAAAGTAAAAACTGTTGTGCTTGAGAAACATATATGTGGAGTTATTTTATCACAATTTCGCTCGCTAGTTTGTACAAAGTGACAACATTTTAGGGGCCAAATCAAATGCTGAACGAAAAAGCTGCTCGTACATTAAAAGAAATCAATTCTGGTCTCGCACACATTATTTCAGGTAGTATTGTGCACGGTGTGGCAATAATATGTTTCATTTAATTAGAAGATCAATTTCTCAATAATTTTTTAAGATATGGGCTTTCAGAGATCGAAAAAGCTCTTATGCAAACGGAGAAGGAATATATCAAAGAGAAATTAAGGTGTGCAGTTTGGTTTGAAAAGTTTCTTATTTATTATATTTGTAAGTACGACTTTTTCAAAAAACTTTTCTTTTTTTGTGATGCACTTTGTAGCGCCAGTAACGAGAGTGTAAAAATATTTTAAAACTTTGACAAAAAAGAAATTATTCAGAGCTGAGAAAGAAGGAAAAACTTCGCCGAGTAAACACTTTATATGGTCTGATTCTTTGAGGTATTTTTTTAAATATAACCATTGAAACTTTCCACAGCGTGTTACTTCTTATAATTTGTGTTTTTCTTTACTAGATGATTCATCTAATTATTTATGAGTTGGCCGAAATCATTAGGATTACATTGTTCAGAAATCTTTAGAAAACGTTTGTGTTTGCTATTATTTACACTTCATTCTTCACTATTTGATCGTTTCTCATATTTTTAATGTTTTCAAGATTAAAAGACTGTAAAAAGGATTTTCATATACGAAGTGTTTTTTATAGAACGGCTTTAAAAAGACATATAAATTTGTTATTTACAAATCTTGAGCAGCAAGCTGACCCAAACAATTCTGTCAACTATTCAGTTGTGCAGTATTTGTATCACACTATCCAGCCTCTTTTCAAAGATTATGTCAAATTCAGGTAATCTTCAATTTTCTAAATTTCAAAACGTCATTTAATTGCTTTTGCATTTATTTTATATAAATTTGAAGGTTAGATGCTGTAGAATTCTAAATCTCTTGTAAAGCTTGAGACTTCGTACATCTTGCACACCGGACTTTAAACCATTGTTTTATTTTCGAGTCAAAATCTGTTTAGAAGCCATTTTACAGAGATTTAATGTTGGAAATATTTTTGCTTTGTCCGGAACGACGGCATTTGATTCTTGTTCCTGAAATGAAAACTTACATTGAACTGAACGATATTTCTGTAATGCAGTCGTTAGTTGTTTTTCATCACTTTTTGTTTAATCATATGTACAAAACTTTATACTTGAGAGTAGGAAATAGATTTATTGTTTCCATTTTATCGAAATTAAATTATGCTTGATCAAATTTGGGAATTCAGTGGGACATCCATAAAAGCATCGAAAACTCGCAAGAATTCGAAATTAACTGCCGAAATTCAGCGTCAAAAGTCTCTGATTCCGCAAGTACCATCAAATTCTAGTGTTATAAACCGTTGCTCTACAAATACTATTAAAAGGAAGAACAATGAAACCCAAAAATGTAGCGGTGCGAATGCTGAATTTTTGGTAAATTTGGTTATTAAAAACATGATTAATCATATACGTGAGAATATTTTAATAACTGAAATCACTTTTGCACTCATAATATATAGTTTCTAAATTACTGCTGATAGATTATATGATATAATGTCTTGTAGATGCCGTAAATTTCAGTAGCTTCAAAGGGCTTAGAATTGGAAATATTTAGACTTTTACAAATATATGCAAGGGAGCATTTAAGGAAGGAACATTAGGAATGGAAGGATCCAGGAAATCATCTTCAAATGTTGATGAGCTATCTGAAGTTGTGATATACCAAACATCTCTTCTAAAGAAATAATTAGTTTTTGATAAATTAAAGTCTAGGCTCTGGACATTATTTTTCTTTTTTGGACTATCATTTGCAACTACAAATATTGTTTTCTAATAATCGTAGCAATGAACTTTTTCGAAAAATAATAGCGAACCTGGACTATATTTTCTATCCTTAGAAATCGAATTTCGTTATATAATTTAATTCTAATGAGCAGGGTAAAGTTAAAATGGTCAGTTCATGAAAGATTACTAATTTTTGTCCACTGAATTTTTGAAAGTCTAAACTTCTTGCTTTCATTTTTTGCTCTATTGAGTGATTTTGCGGCTAGTAAATTTTGTTTTAGTCTAACTCAAGTTGTTCATCGGTCGTATGCAATCCTAAATTAACGCAGGAACAAAAAATTATGCTGGTTCGTGAAAATAAAGAAAGAGAAAGATTAATGGCTGAACAGGCTGCTGCTGAGGTGAATCATAGAGTTCATAGCATATATTATATATTTTTTCATTTCGTCACTTGAAAACCTTTTAGTTGAAATTATGAACTTTCAGATCTCTAATAATATTTGAAATCTAACAATATCATCTTGAAATTGATTTATCACCATGAATTGTGGATATTCTAATTTTCTTTCTAATTCTAATTTTCAGAAAGAACAGAAAGGGCATGAGGAAATTGAGCGAAATTTGCAGGTACAAGTATTGTTTTCTTTTTGGGAAGATAATGGCAACGGTAAATATTCGGTTCCTATCCTTAGAAATCGAATTTTATTGTGTAATTGAAGTTTCATTGAATGATTATGGATTTACCTATTTTAATTCATCAGGCGCAAAGAATTCATGAAGAATCAGAAAATAGAAAAAGAGATGAAGAAGCTATTAAAAAATGGGAAGAAGAGGTCTGTTTTTCAGAAATAAAAGTTATTTCATAATTTTTTTTTGTCTTGGAAGGAAAGAGGTATAGTTTAAAATCTAGTTTTGCTTCGAAAGAGATTATATTTTTTCAGTTTTTTCTAGGAAACTATACATCTCGAAACAAGTAAAGAAGAAGATGAAATTTTAGAAAATCTTCAGCCAGAAAAATATCTTATGTGGTCAAAAGTAAGGTTTATTTGCATAAAATGAATTGGAAGATTTTTGTTGTAAGCTAAAATATAAAGTATAACTATTTAAGTTTAGGGTAACGATCACCTAACATGTGCTTCAAATTTGTTTATTCTTCTGCTTCTCATCCAGAAGCATTAGCAAAAATCCTTTCAAAATTAATTTGAAGAAAAGTAGCAGTGAAGGAAACCACATATCGAACTATAGATATGTGGGATATGTATCGGTCGTACTCATTTGAATTTAATTTTAGGATTCAGATCCACAAGAAAATAATAGAGTGGGGTTGGACGCTGATACAGAAGTTGAAATGAATACTGAAGAAGATGTATGTTAATTGATTGATAGCTCATGTTTAGATGAATTTTGGTCTCATATGCATTAGCTGATTGTCAGCAAAGATAAAGTTTGCTTTTATTTCCTTAAATTGTCGCAGTCTATACAGTTTTGGTGCTTTAGGTGATCATAAATCCAAAGTTTGGCACCCAAATATGGAGTTCAGAGAATGAGCAAAGATGTAGTAGTACTGAAATGGAGCTACCCTCAGTGAAGGTATTTTTGGATTAGCATTAATTTTCGGTGAACAGCAATTACACTATCATTTGCTCAAATCTCTTCGGTAATGTTACCATGATGTCTCTTCATTTTTCCATAAAAAGCTGCTGAAAATTGATAAAAACTGTTGAGTCTTATTTCTAAGCTATGTGCATCAAAATTAGAATTATTTTCTTCGATTATTAGTCATGAGGATGTAAATTCCAAAAATTTGGAACGTATGGATGTCTTGGATTTGAAAACTTCTTCTTCAAGGTCTTTTGTTTCATGAGTTATATACTTCAAGGACTTTTTAAAATTGGATATCTTTATTACAGTTTTATTTTAATATATTTCAGAAAGGATTATCAGGTGGTAATTTTCTGTCTAAGCAGAGTTCTCAGGATATTCCTGCTGCTTCATGCAGTACTCATACGGCATCATTTAGCCGTTTGCAATCTTCACCGATATCACGAATCACTCACTTGCAAGCTGAACGAGCCAACAATTCTGTTTGTCCCGTATCCTCTTCATTCAGGCAGTCATCGTTGGTAAATGCAGATTATTCAGAACGATTTATGAATCCATCTGAATCCACTGTCGTTGCGAATTTTCCTCCGTAAATTATTCCTATGCTTTTTTTCAATGAATTTATAGTTTCGAGTGATTGACAATGTTAAAAGAACAAAATTGTTTCCATATTTACATTTATGTATGAAGTTTTGGTTCTGCAAGATTTTTGAGAAAAATTTTTCAGGTACTCTGAAACTCATCATCGTTCAACGTTACGCCAGCAGCCTTCATCTCTTGTTCAGGCAATTGAAGACAATTCAGCAGGTTCAAGTTCTCAAATTACCAATGACTATCAGATATCAAGTCAACAACAGCAATCGTCTTGGACTACACGGCAGTCCACAGTTTGTTCTACATCTGCACCCACTAACCGTCAGGTGCCAGTGTTGTATCCCTCTCATTCTTCAAGATCTGCACCCTGTATTGCGAATGCTGCACTGGTTGCCCAAGAACAGTGCACTTATCCATCTTATCAGATTCAGCATAGCCAAATATCGTACAGTAATATGCAACAGTCTCAGCGCACACCAGCAATATGTCATTCTTCTCAAATCTCTCGACATTTTAATCAAGAACCTGAACAGTTACACCATCCACAACATCCATGCAGATATCGTGCACCTGTTTATAACAGTACTTCTGTACAGAAGACAACTCCTCCGCCACCATGCGGCATTCCACAACACACTCCTCAAAATTTTGGTAATGTGGTGTCACCTTCAGAGCAAGTTATCTATGCACAACAAATATCTTCTGGAGAGTATTCTTCTCCCTCTTTTCCATCTGTATTACAACAACCAATAAGCCAACAACAGCGCCGTCAACTGTATAATCATCGCCAACAGCAATTCTTGTCTCAACAAGAACGACAGGAGCAGCTCTATAATGTTGGGCAGCAACGACACAATAGTATTAGTGCCCATCATCAGCAGATGTATAGTGATTGGCGATAAGGTATGATTCTTGTTTTTGCATTCTCATATTATTGGTGACGAGATTTATACTGATTTTCATATGATTCCATAGTTTTGCAATACTTTATTTTCGTAAGTAATAAAATTTTCTTTACATTTGCTGAGGTATCAGAAATGTTTCAGGCCATGAATGTTTTATGAAAATGAAGATAGTAGCTGAAGTAATGGTATTAGGATAGCTGCTCATAAATCAGTAAATGAGGGTATGAAGATTTGGGAATCTATTATCATATTTGATTTTTGTTTCGTTTCGTTAACTTGTTTGTTTCTAGTCATTTGTGTAGATACAATTTGCGAAATGAACATTGAGCTAAAATATCAACTATTCATAGAAGCGTATACTATCTATATTTATATGTACTTTGAACTTTCAAATGACATTGCGTTCAGTTAGCTTACAAATTTTTGCTGTTGTGAAATCGTGCCAAATATTAAAAATGAATTGTAATAATATTAGTATTATTTACTTTCATGTTGATATAGATTTGTAATTTTCCTTTCATAACCAGTTTGTTTTTCTAGTCATTTATGTGTTGTTGCTCAATAATTGAATGTGTCACAATTTGATTTTCCATCAATTTTTGTTTAAAAAACATTTATTGGTGTGATTTCCCGCCGCGAATGATGAAATGTTTGTTGCAAAGCGGAATGATTTTTAAACACATTTCTCATGGCCCTGGAACCAAGAAAATAAAGCACTTTTGAATAATTTTCTTTATTTGAATACTATTGACTGTAATTTCTTTGGTAACAGATCTTACCAGATATTCTGTAACATAGTTTTTGAATGGGGAAGATTAACAGAGTCATTTTATGGATTATATTCTACTATAAATAGTTTGTGGGTCGATATTTTTGATCTGTAGTGCTGACAAATCAATTTCCTAATTTTTAATTATATTTTAGTAACTTTTCATTCCTTTGTCATGTTGAGCTTCGCTAAGAATCATGTCGAGCTTTGTTAAGAATTTTAAAATGTTTAAGTGGTATACTGATCAGAAACTCTTGCTAGCAGCACTCATACATAATCGGGTGATTAGTTTAGATAAGTCGTGTATCATTTTTGTTTGCAGAGCAAAAATTTCAAACTGATAGTTATTTAAGTTGTAATTTTGCGCAGAGTAGTGTTTTATATATCATTCAGAAGTGTAGTGGTACATCGAATATTGTTTTGAACTGTTGTATATGTTATTCAGCATTCATTTTCCAGGATGTAGTTTGCATCTAATGTTAATTGTATGATCTAATGTTAATTGTATGTGTATGTTCATTCATTATTGTTTTGTCTTTCTAACATTTACTCAACCACAGACTATATTGTGCTAACTACGTATCATTTCCAAATTATGGCAGTTAGAATGTTTTGCTTGTCTTATCAATTTGTGATTAAAATATTTTTTGATGATTTTCAGATCGATTCGATTTCTGACTACTTTGTTTCCTCAAAATTAAAAGAAGCTTTTAGCTGAGACTGGTTTTGGATGTTGAAATAGTGGTACTTCCGTAGTTCGATTTGAGCTTGCGCGAATAAGTTTATTTTTTATGAGCAAATGTTAGACTACTTCATAACTAAAGAATTGTGGTGAGGCATGTATTATTTAGGGTGAACCAAGAAGCTTATTTAAATCATTTCATCAAGTTAGGAAGATCAACACTGTAGAATTTAGTTTGATGTTTGTGCTATTGATGGATCATTTCGATTAATACTTGGGGGTGTGGGTTACCTGGGAAATGAGATATCGTTTAGGTTGTGCTACTGGTGCATAATTTATGATGAATGATTTGGAACAGAAGTACTGATTGCTTGTGCTAAGCGAAATGGTGAGTGGTTGTAAAGTATTGTAATAGTTGAAAGTGGTAACTGCATTATTTTATAAGTGAATATAAGTTATATCATACTTATGACTTAATAGGCGCGTGAGGCTTGTGATCGTCCCGATCAAAGTATTCTAAATGGTAATGAGGGTGGGAAGTTTCAAATGATTGTATTGTATTTATGGAATATCTTGTTGAATATCATTATTGAGACTCTGTAATCATCGGAACATAAATTGGAATAAATGAAAATTGTGTGACTTGTTAACGAATGATTTGATTGTGAATCTCAAGCTGACATTATGTTATAGATTATATGCAAATTTGTGATTTTATCGAGATGTCAAAGTATATAGGCTGAATGAAATTACTGTTATCATCACAGCGGTTGTGTCGGAAGAGCAGTCATTTGTCGCTAAGAATTAGACATGATGGATATTGGACTTATTATGTTAATTATGCAAATCTTAATTGATAGTGTTGTTGGTTCAGAATGTCAGCTTACATTTATGTAATGGCATAACTAATGCAGTGATTTCGATGAAATTTTAAGAAGGAAAATGAATTAACCTTTAATGTTACTTAAAAAGTTTATCTGTTTTCATTGTTATTGTTAGATACAGAGAATTCATATTATGCATTTATTTCAGTACAGAAAAAAATCGAAATTAATTATAAGTGTTACATATGGTGCAAATAAAAACCTCTGTTTCTAACTTTCGTTAGTGTAAGCACGATAGGTAGATCAAGTATTCAGCAATACAAAGTGGACGAGTTTTCTTTTAAATATTTTTCAGTTTTGGTAGAAGATATTCATTTAGTTCACACTTATTATGGTTTGTTTTGTTAATTTTTGTAATTTCGTCTTGATTTATAAACAAACACCTTATTCCTTAAAATACTAATTTTTTATTATTAAATATTGTTTATCTAAAATAATTACTGATAGTTTTAGTTATTTTTGAATTAATTCAAGCCATCTTTTTACTCTCAATACAATTTATATTATATGAAATATATTCAGTGACTGAAAGGATTAGCTTTAGATCCACGCAAATGTGGTATTGCGAATTTGACATGGCTCAACAGTGAGTTTAAAATAATGGGTGGTAGTAATGTGGCACCTGGAGAAATACCTTGGGCTGTGGCAATATTTAGAGACCGTTGTAAGGACCAATTCCTTTGCATATTCCCTCTTATTTCCTATTTTACCGTTAACTATATGAACATTTCTGACTACAAAGAATATGTATATTTCATCAATGAATTCTGATTCTATAATCGATTTGTAAGGGTATTCTATGGGCGAATAATCATTTTTTTTTACGCGGTTTTCCTAGAAAATGCAGTACCGCTAATAAATTGTATTTGAATATTATTTATGTCTAAATATCCTTTGTACAGAATGTATATTCAAATTCAAAACTATTTATTCCTATGATCAAATCTTAACGAAATATTTACATTACACTGCAAATTTACTTTTAAATTACAAAACTGAGATTTAAAAAATTTGATCTGGTTTTTAGCTTATTACTGTACAGGAACTCTGATATCAACAAAGCATTTAGTCACAGCAGCACACTGTTTCGCTACTGGATTAATAAGAAGGCCATGCGAGTAAGTTTATGTCATTCATAACTTACGAAAAAAGCTTCCAAAAATTAATCTCTTATATAATAGTAATTAATAAGTAGTGATTATTGCTCTACTCCAACAATCATTATTAGATATTTTGATTCACAAACGGCATCATTTTAATGTCTGCAAAAAATGAAAAAGTTTTAAAATTTGTTACATATGCAAGTAATATAATCTCTCTTAACGAAACTTTCATATTTCAGTACATCTTTTGGTATTTATCAAAAAGAAGCTATTGAAAGGTATACTGTTTTGTATGGCAGCAACTGTATCTATCAAAACAGCGAATATTTGTGTGAAGATGCACCAGACATGAAAATGATGCAAATTGTGAGGTAAGCTCATAAATTTTGATTTGAAAATGAACTAAATCACTGAATAATAGATCGAAATTAATAAAAGGAAAAACAACCGTTGCTTGTTGCTTGTTATAAGAAGCAGAATATCTTTTATGCGATAATTAATAAATTACAGGGTAATAATTTACATATTCAAGTTTAAATTTGATCCCTTATAGAATTTGGAAAATATAAAATGCAGAAAATTTGCAACTCCAACGACATGTAAAGAGAAAAAATTACTCAGTTTACACAATTACTTACTCGATTTTTGACTCGTATTCTTGCATACATAACTACTGGTAGTAATAGCTGGGACAGATATTTCCTTATTTTTCGGATTCAGCATATTTATAAGCATTCTAACACTTTAGCATGATAGGATAATATTTACTACAGTGGAAAAAAGTGATAAGGATGAGTGATTTACTGAGTTCGTTTTAGAATTGTACAAGTTGCTATTATTTATAGAGCACAATATGGGCGATTTTTCCATGGTAAATGTAAAACAGCAGATTTTGCATTATTAGAATTAGAAGACACTATAGAGGATGACCCTATGGTTAATTATATCTGTCTTCCACACCGAAATATTATTAACAAAATTAAACAAACGCATTTGATTGGCTATGGTTGGGGTAACACTCGTAAGTTCTTAATTTCATGTAACTATTTGTATTCTAATGTAATAAAATTTTGTCAACCACTAATTAAACAGCTAATAATTTTAGGAGATGTGTATGGGCAGAAAACAATGAATAACTTACAAATGATTGAATTTGCAAGTTTATTAAACCCAATTGAATGTTCAAATAGTTATAATGACATGCCAGAAGATGTAATTTGCACTGAAGAAACAAAAACAAAAAGCACATGTCAGGTTGCTTTATTTATTATTCTTGAAATTTACGTGATATAATATTTGAATTGAAATTAATAATAAAGAAAAAAGTTATTATCCTGCACAAATTAGAAAAAACTAATTATTTTGCATTATTTATTGCAGCACGACAACTACTTTTGAAACTTTAATAGTACTAAAAGTCGCACAACTTTGAATACAATGTCATATTTCAGTTAAGTTAGCAAATATGAAAATATTACTCCACACTAATCATTTAAACATATGAATTATAACAAAAAACCAATGCAGAAACAAACTTTCGAATTTAATTTTTAATGCAAGTTAGGAAAAATTCCAACGCCACTTAAGCCGATTTAGATTTATTTTCTAACTCTTTCTTCTGCTCAAATTTTTCATCATCTAGTAAATACTGATCATCATCTATTCCAACTGTCTGTAATATTTTCAGGGAGATAGTGGTGGGGGCTTGGCAGTGTCTGCGCCTAATGGACAGTGGTCACTGCTCGGGGTATTGTCATTCGGGTCAGAATGTAAACGCTTACAACGTGGCATTCCACCAAATGTTCAAGCCTATACTGATCTTTCTCTTTATAGTATGGATATTGACATGTTTACCGGTTATCATGATATTATCAAAAGTTTTCATTCACTTTATATTTACACTGGTAATCTGTCTCAACAATAAAGCAGTTGAAATAGGATACTAATCACTTTACAGACTCAAACAACCATCAGACTGTACAAAAAAAATACCATTAGTCTGACCCAAAATAAAATTGACTTTGAAAATCGATGGACAATCCGCCACATAAATGTTAATTTGATAATTTATTGAGTACTAACAAGTTTCTTAAAAAAAAGAATCTTGACTAATTTCCATAAATTCTAAATTGATCAGACCGTCCACTTTTCTAAATCATTTATCTTATTATAACGCTGCATGAAGCACAATTTTGGAATTGGGAAATAAATTTTTTATTAGAGTCCGCATCAGAGTGATCGAAAAGTTGTGGCACATTGAAATATGTTTGGTTTAAATACATGCTGGTCTGAATTGTTCTGTACGATATTTCAGTTTTAATATAAAATAAGAGTCTCCTAGAAGTATAATGAGCGTATCTTCTTGATTACATGCTGAGTAAGTTTGAAGTAGCGTGCATAAAAATGCATATAATCATAATTTGTTGCAATTTCAGAAAATCATTGGGGACATCAGTGGTAACATCGGGCAGCTATGGTAAGTTACAGTCATTTAACTAGATTAAATATATAAAATAAGATCTTGTAAATATGTATTTATTCATATATGTATTTGTCTACTATTCCATATCAATCCCTCATGTATTAAAAACTTTTTATGTGTGATCTTATATATATGTATAGTAATATTTACAGCATAATTTTGCATTCCTAGTAATAGCTGTTACTGATGTTCTTTCTATTTATATATTGCCAATAAAAACTTTAAAATTACTTCAATTTTGATATTGCTTGTAGTTCATATGTAATTTTATTATTAATTAAGAATTATCAAAAAATACTAGAATTATAAAAATTGTGCTTGAGAAGAGTTATTTTCATTATTTGATCATGAAACAAATGTTTCAAATTCGTCTTAATAAGTTTTTGCGATTCCTAAAATTACATACATATCAAGCCAACATTTTTCTAGATTTTGTTCCATGTAAAACTGATTTAGTAGGATTACTTTTTTAGGCACGACGTTATGATACTCGTACAACAATCTTTTCACCGGAAGGTCGGCTCTATCAGGTGGAGTACGCTATGGAAGCTATATCACATGCGGGTACATGTCTTGGTATTCTAGCTTCAGATGGTATTCTTATTGCAGCGGAGAAGCGAAACGTGCACAAATTACTCGATGATGAAGTATTAATTTCATCGTTTCCTTACCTTGATTTAGTTAGCCTTTACAACGAAATCTAGGACTGACTTCCTTTGATAATGTGGTTAATCTAATGGAATAGAAAATATGGTGTATGAAATGGTAGATACAAGCAGCTTCTCAGTGAGCCATTGATTCACCAAATAGTTGTAAAATAAAGAAGCGAAATTGATCATGTATCACTTCTAGTTGCTTATAAATTATGTACATTTAATTAATAGTGTTCTTAATCTAGACTAGAGCTAGCAGTGCGCTATAATTTATTGTGTTTTCTAAATGCATTCTATCATGTCTTTTGATTATCATTTGAGTGGCATTTTGAAATTTGATTTTTAATGTATCTGTTATCATGTATCAATAATAAGGGTTTTTGTTACTCAAATAAGTTTCTGTCGAATTTCAGTTTTTTCTTTCATGCAACACTTTTCAGGTTCTAACTGAAAAAATTTATCGATTAACTGATAATATTGCGTGTACAGTTGCTGGAATCACTGCTGATGCAAATATTCTGATTAATCATCTAAGATACTGGGCTGCAGATTATAAGTACAGTTACGGAGAACATATACCTGTAGAACAGTTAGTACAAATGCTTTGCAATGAAAAGCAGCGCTATACGCAAGTTGGAGGTATTATTCTGGATTTTAATCTTGTACAAAGAGTAATTCAGAGAATTCGTTAATTTTTCATAAAAAACTATGTTTTGCTGTAAATAATTGTGTGATTTAAATTTTTCCATACTACTGTATAAGTTTTTAATTAGCAAAATGTGAGTACAATGTCAAGGCCAAATTGAGAATTGGATAAAATTTTCATTTCATCAGTTTTAGAGTTATCTAGTTTTTACATTTTAGGAAAACGGCCATTCGGAGTTTCGTTACTATATATGGGGTGGGATCAACATTTTGGCTATCAACTTTATCAGTCAGACCCAAGTGGTAACTACACTGGTTGGAAAGCTACATGCATAGGAAATAATCATCAGGTGTGTATTAAATTTTACTAGTTACGTATTTATTTTCTACATTTTAACCTTAGCAATTCGAGCACACGACACTTGTCAGGCAACAAATAAAGTAGAAGAAAATATTTCTTCTCTGAAAGAAAAGTCTTCAGAAAATGTTATCGCATTCTAAAATTTTTTAGATTTGAAATGGATTTGCTAATTTCCAAAATACTTTCTTTGCAGGCTGCCGTATCGTTGCTGAAGCAAGAATATAAATCGCCTGATCTAAATGAAGCCAAAAAATTAGCAATGAAAGTTTTATCGAAAACGTTAGATGTAAAACTGTCAGCAGAAAAAAGTAATTTTTTTAACAAATCTACCATGTCTTTCACTACTACAATTGATCATAATGAATTTAAATTGAAGTTGAAAGGCTGTTGAGTTCTGAATTTTTATTAGTATATTTTTACTCATTCTATTACTATGTTTTTTTTTTTGATCTTTTTAGTTGTTGCCTTCTGTATTTTTGTTTATTAATTTACAAAAATTTAGTCGAAATGGCCTCTCTAACACGAAGGAATAATGGAACATTAATAGAAAATTTGAGTAATGCTGAAGTTTCTCAACTGATCAAAGAACATGAAGAAAAAGAGAAAGAGCAAGAAGTTCAACAACCTGCTTAATGTTATTTTTGGTATAAAAGAAGAGTTGCACATCTTTAGATTTTAGATTTAAGTAAATTTGGATCCATGTCATTTACCTAGTATTTCTTAAATGTTCAGGAAATGCATGGACCTTACTGTCTTCAATTTTCAGTATTATGAAGTAACAAAAACAGCAAGAAAAGTCCATGCAAATTTAGATTTATTCGTGTTGGATGGGGTGATTTTCTGTGGGTTTTCGACATCAGCTTATTTTACTTTTAGTTGCAGAATTAATAAATTATCTTTTCGCTGTCATTTTTAAAGTCAACATTTTCATTATTTTTAATGACAAATAAGTGGATTTCCAAGATGTAATTTCCAAGTTGTAGTGTGTAAAAGGGACCTAATTTTTCAAAGATTTTCCTTTTTTAAACATTCAAGAATTCGGATTATCACATTCTTCTTGTTATATTATGTTCTGTGTCTTCAAACATGTTCATGTCACACAGTGGTAAATAAAAAACTAAGAAACTTAATTTCAATTGCATTTGTGTTTGCAGTAATTCATCGTTACTTTATAAAAGAAAAAAAATCGTTTTAGGAAGTGAGGACACTTTCTTTCACGCAATAATCCTTCTTATTTAAAAAAATTATTACGTGAAAGACGTAGATAGAAATGTGTCATAAAATTTATACAAGACAACAGGTTAGTGATGTTAATGAAAAGCAATGCTTCATTAAGTGCAGGAGAGTATGTCGTACTAATTCTGAATCATTTCACTTCGAGGGAATTGTAGTCGATGTTTGCTTGGCATTTAGTCAATTTTCAGGTTCACAAGTCCCATTTAAATGGGAACTATCACTGCAGATGAAGTAAATTTCCAGCATTTAATAGCAAGTTGTGAGCGACTGTGTGTTGAAGACACATCACTGAATATATTTAAACTTGCAGCAAATTTGAAAGAACTTGAAGAGATATTCGGCCGTCTGCTTCAGAGCAGGTAACCATCCTTAAGCTTCTCTAGTGCAAAAGTTAATTGTTTATTTCTTGCTTTCATTTTTGATACTACTGATTTTTGAGAGCGATGACAAATTATAGAAATGTTCTGTTTGTATAGATGTAATGCTGAAAATCTTTTGAAATAGTTGGCAATACAAAGAGCTAATTTGTGGTACTAATGTTTTGCCATCATTCGCTTCTCTTATTGTGTAACTTTCAATAAATAGCAATTTTTAGGGACATTGACAGAGATATTTTACAACATTATGAACAAAGTTTGAATGTGTTGCGTCTTCATGTCGAAGCAAAACAAGAAGTAAATTTTGTTTTAAGTAATTGGAATTCTTCCATCAAGAAGTTCTATCGATCTACTTCAAGTCATGAAATTTAGAAAACTACTACAACTTCTGATGGAAAAGATTCGTTAGTTCAATGTGATGTAGATCTCAATGATGTAAAAAATGATGTTGTTTTCTCAAAAGCCAAAATGAAGATTGCACATGAAGCTGATTTACGTATGCAATTATTTGGAGAAGCAGAAAAGTAAACGTTTTTCAAGCATTTTATCTTTGTGAATGATTAGAGAGTTAATAATTTCTCTTTTGGTCCAGTTCGGGTTTTTTGTCAGTCATTGTACTGTATTTGTAAACTAATAATAATAGGTCATCACTGCTTGATTCCGATTTCAATCCAGAACTCATTACTCGTCGTGAGACTGAAAAACAAGAAAATTTGGCGAACGAGTTGTTTAGTATGGCACGTCTAATGAAGCACACTTATTCAACAGCTAATGCGGTTATCAAAGAAGACAATGCGGTTTGTTTGCTTTTTTCTCTGTATTTTCAGATCAAGAAATATGCAGATTAAGAAATAACAAAACTTTATAGTAGTGTTTCGAAATTAGTGTGGATATAAAATTTAATTAATTAGTTCCATCTACACATTTTTCATATTTTTTCATATTTAAGATAAAATATATATAATCTAATTGATTATAAAATGAAGAAAATTTGAACTTTAGACACTCTCTCGATTACAACAGGTGGCAGATGCTCATAAAGGAAGTTTACTAAAAGAAAGTAAACGACTTGAAGAGTATGCGTATCGTTCATGGTGTGATTGTTTATATATTGTAGGTGTTTGTGGTATAATTATGTCATTTATAGCTATGGTGATTATTATGAGGGTTTTCACAAAGAAATATTAGACCTTATTTTTGGAACATACGAAATTTTTGGCTACTTGTTATAGCAATAATTTCAATTTTCTATTATCAGTCATTAGTCATTTTACATAAGCTATACTAACAGAACTATGGGCGTAAGATCGGGTAATCTGTATAATTAACTGTGAAAAAATGAATTTAGTATAACTTTAACCGATGGTTTTCAGAATTAATAAGAAAAATAGAGGACTTGATTATCAGTTATTCGGTTAATAGTTGCTGATATGAATTGTAATTTCCTTCTAAAGTAGATAATATTTGAAGTTCTGCTTGTAAGTTGAACAAACGGAAAACTTTTTCGAAAGCATCTAGTGAGAAATTTTTTGCTTTATGGTCTCAGTCAACTGAGAATTGGGGAATTCCAGCTCTGCAGTAGAAGACATACATAGTATCATAATAAAAATTATATATATAACCTGTAATCATAAATGAAAACAAATCGAAAGCAAAGAAGGTTGTTGAAGAAAGCTCCCTGAAGGACATGGGTAAGCACTCGACGAGCGTACAGGAACTAGCAGAGCCGAGTGCCGGATAAGTACAGAGAGACTGTCGGAACACGATTAAGAAGACGGGGAAGAAATATTAATCCCCGACCTGCCATTGCAGTTGCATTTCCTTCTCTACAAATTTTCACCTTAACTTTGACCTCTTATCACTCGAATAGTTTTAACTACACTATAGCTCTATAGCCTTAAACTTACTTCTTTAATCTTGAAATTGGAATGCACAGTCGAAATTGGCACTGGAATTTGCCAGTTCATAAAGTTATCAACATCAAAATCACTGGTGTCTAGATGCCTCTAGCTTTTTATCACATTAGTATTTTCATTTCCCTTTCTTATATACCTTACATTCAGCCACACTAACTTCTTCTAGTTTATGGGAGTCGTTCTATCCTGAGGTTGCACTCTTCGCCATTTTTCTTTGTCGTCTAAAAATACGTGGATAAAAATTTTCAAAAATCTGATATATATGGGTTGACATCACTAGTTATGACAGATTGACAGCAGTCGAGATCAGAAAGTGTGAATATGACCTGCTGGCTAGTAAACTCGGGTCAGAGATGAAGTGTGGGGTGAAAGTAATTCCCTACGATGATTTGGGAGATTGTAACGAGCTTCTATAAATGCTACGAGAAGGCAATCAGTTTATCTGGTCACGTCAAGGCATTCTGTCCTGCGTTCAGATTTGCTGTACTGCTCTTGTGCTTATCCTCGTGAAATTCTTAGTGGTTATCGAATGATACAATTTTGAGCGCATTCTCGAGCGCTATTGATAGCTACGGTTAGAGTGCAGGAACACGACGCAGCTCTAGAATGAATAAAGCGTGGAGGAAGGCTGTATATAAATGTATAGGTCAGTCATTAATCAGGACAGATTAACAGCAGGTCAGGAGTTAATCTTTTTCAACTGCGAAACAATGAATTTTTAAAACGGCTTCGAAAAACATCTCTT